TTAAATTACTTTATTTCAGTTACATTATAACTTTATTCTCATTAAATGTTGTTATTCGTCTTATTAAACGTAGTAAGCGGGCCTGCAGCGCCCCCTCTCGCCGCCGAGTCGTACTGCAGTGTTTGTGCGCGCCGCCCCGCTCCCTCTTCTCTTCCGGGTTGTTCTTCCTCTGGATGTGGCGCCTCGGTCTCTGTCTCTCTCTCTGTCTCTCGGTCTCTGTCTCTCTGTCCCTTTCTCTCTCTGTCTGTCTCTCTCTGTCTGTCTCTCACCGAGTCTCTCACTGAGTCGCGCAGGGCTGAAGAAGAGCGGGATGAACCGGGCGGGCAGCGCCGGGCAGGACCGGGCAGCGGACCGGAGTCTGTTCACCGACTGAACCGAGAGTCGGGGCGTCATGAGCGGACCTGGCGTGTCTCTCACCCCGCGGCAGTGAGCGTGTGAGCGGGCGGACCGCTGCTAGCCGCCGCCGCTGTTAGCATTAGCACACACAGTTCGAAACAAGAACCAGGAGGAAACATGGAGAACAAGGTGCAGATGAGGAATCACCCCCGGAGGTAAAGAGTTCACACACGTGTTCATCCTGGTTCTCACATTCTATTGTCTTTATTTCTATTAGTTTATTTGATGCTTCTGCTCAGTTTTTTTTTTACATTCTAATGTTTAACGTCTTTGCTGCTTCAGGACTTAGTTTCGTTTCCTCTCGTGTTTCAGAATGAACATTAATCTTCTTGAATCCTGAAGATGAGTAAACACACGTTCCCGGTGTGTTCACAGTTACACATGTAAAACAGCAGGAGTTCATAAAGTCAGGACTGTTCTCCATCTTTAAAACCTCCAGTGAATGGATTATAATGTAGTTTATTCATGTTTGTGATTATAACTAATGACATTTAACACTTTAATGTGTTCTCCATTTTTAAAACTTTCAGTAAATGGGTTTAAATGTAGTTTATTCATGTGTTTGTGATTATAACTAATGACAATCAACACTTTAATCTGTTCTCCATCTTTAAAACCTTCAGTAATTGGGTTTAAATGAAGCACAGACGTGAAATATCGAAGGAGAGTAAGGGATGATTTGACTAAGAGTGAAATTTAGTGGGGCTTTCCAGTGATATAATAAAAAACAATTGGACAAATATGTAGAATAATACAACAACTGCAGCTCCTGTAGATGCACAACTGTAGGCTAATACCAATCACTGCATCCCATAATGAAACTACTTCCTACTTTTTTCTGGTAATGAAATAAATGAGAGCAGATAAAATCCGCACTGAGCCAATTTAATGCCTTAACTCCATTTGCGGATCTGGTCGTCGCTGCTTTAATCTCAGATAAGTTTGAGTGAATCAGCTCAGTGTGGAATCAGAGGCGGTCGTTCGTGTTCAGCAGTGAAACGTGTTAAAGGTGAGCTGTTCCTCCGCCGACGGCCGCGTGTCAAAGGCGTCAGTCACCACAGAGCTGGTTTTTGTGTCAGAAACATGAGGCCCCTGGAAAGAGCGAGGCTTTGGTTGATACCACAGAAAAGATTCAACATCTCCAAACACACACTGAAGAGTAGAGTGGACTCAAACACAAGTACCAGCAACAGCTTGAGGTAGACTAAACCTCTTTCAAATGTAAATGTACTCACCGTACATTACGCTCACTGCATTTTATGAATTTTAAATAAATGTAAACTCAGTGGACCTCTGCCCTTTGCCAGCTGTTAAGCATTGAAGAAACATCAGGTTGAGGAGATATGGATTCAAACCGAGGCCCAGACTGAGACATCTTTTGTTTTGGTTTTGTCTTTTGTTTTATGGATCAGTTAAGAGCTGTTCAATGTTCAAAACTGGTTTGTCAGCTGTTTGACAGTAGGAACTGACTTGTTCCTTTTCTAGCCACTTATCAGGAGGATGCTCGTAGCACACACAGCTCACTTGTTATCATGTCCATTCACTCGTCCACTGTTTCCTCATTCAGCTGATGTAAGACTCACGTTTCCAGTCGATGTTCCACGTTCACACTGAGGCAAGAATTCAGTCTGTCATATTCTTGATAACATTTTTGCCGTGTTGTTGTTTTGACCAAACATTGAAGGTGTTTTTTTTGATGCATTAGTTCTCGATGAGAAGGTTTTATGACATTTTCCCAGATTTCCCAGAGAATAATTGATGAATCTTGATGTAATGAATCATATTTTAGTGGACTGATATTTATGAGTGTGAGCAATTTGACGCAGCTTGATTGAACTGAACTTTTGGGCCTTGGTGGACGTATGAACTCTACTCTGTGATATTCTACTATTCAGTATTGTAAGCCTGTTGCTGGTTCACTTGAGGTAGAAGAACATTACGAGCAGCAGTTGTTTCTGAATGTAGGGGGCAGATCTGTTGAACTGTGACTGCGTTTGCTTTCAAAAATAGAAGCTGAAACTTGAAAGATAAGAAAACAAGAGCTGAGGGAAAGCATGGGGCATTTTAAATATAGTAATGTAAATATTCGGTGTGTTCTGTACTTCAAGCCACTGCAGATACGCACACATACATTTTGCAGAAGTTCACAGAGTCCTCTTGAAAAGCAGATTATGGGCTGCTACAGTCGAGTATCGTTTCAGTGCTTATTTAACTGTCTCCTGTGGCTTGAAGTGCAAACACTGGACAGTTTGACTTTAAAATCCAGGGGGGTTAAAAAAAAACAGTCACAGACTCACTGACAACATCTTTTATCAACCGATGAACGAGAAGACTGGTTACAGTTTGACCACACGGCGTCTTTGAGGTTCTTACAAATGTTGCTTTTGTGTTTCTCCATCCGTGATGACGTCTACACAACATTTTACTTTTACACTCACCTCTACGTGAAACACACAACAACAACACCCAGCAAACAGTTCACATACACAACAATAACAGTAACAGATATGGACGTCAACATTAAACACTACCGACAGAATTTCTTAGTAACACCATTGAGTTAAATGAAATATTACATATATACATTCACTCAAAGCAGTTTGGCCTCATGCCTTTGATATTTCCTTTAATTGGATATTTCCTCCCGTCTTCCTGTAATCATCCTGATCGGTTTGTCGCTGGCTGCATCCAGGACGTTTGAGTCTATTTTTGTTCCGGACTATTTTTGTCTTTTGACTTATCAGACATCAGAGAATTGTTTTCGTGCTGCTCATCAGGAGAGAGAAAAGGTTGCGATGCCACAGTTCACCCAAGAGGATGATTTTAATATTCTGCTTCTGATTTTATTAGATCCACACAGCCTGATTATAGTATAATGTAGTTTTTTAATGTGTTTGTGAATATATAACTAATGACATTTAACACATAAATCTGTTCTCCATCTTTAAAACCTTCAGTAAACAGGTTTAAATGTAGTTTACCCCCAAAATATATAAACTAGGGACCCAAAAATAATGATCATATTTATGCCAGTTAAAAAAGAAAAGGTGAAGATGAAATTCTGGCTTTACTCAATCTAAAAAAACGAGCTCGGTGAGCTGGACTTACAGCAGAGAAAAATGGTTTCCAAGCTTTAGACGCCTCCCAAACTCCCTCTCTTTTCAGTCTTGGGTTCTGACGTATCTTGACATATACGAGCCGTCAGGTAATCGTCGTTTGAAGCCCTACCCTGAAATATCTGCATGAAAAAGTTTCAGTGTCACATTTATTGCGTCTCGTTTCCTGCTTCATGTCTCTGTCGTTCTGTCGTTGCAGACAGCTGAAGAAGCTGAGCGAGGACAGTCTCACCAAGCAGCCGGAGGAAGTGTTTGATGTGCTGGAGAAGCTGGGTGAAGGGTGAGTCGTCGAACAGTCGCTCAGAGACGTCACAGAAACATCACACTGTCCTGACAGACGGGTTTCCACACCTCTGTCTGCGGATCTGTTTTTAATCAATCTTTCTTTCCTTTTTCTCTCCTCCGCTCTTTCTCTATCACTCCCTCCATCTCTCTCCGCCCTATCTTCCTCCCCGTTGTTGACATGAAGCTCCTCCCCCTACCATCAACATAAACATTGCCTCTTCATTTCCTGTGTCTCAACACACTTCCTGTTCTGAGTGGCTGATTGACATTGTGCATGTGCGTGTGTGTGTGTGTGTGTGTGTGTGTGTGTGTGTCTAAGTGTGTCTAACTTTTAGTTTGTTCTTTAATCTGCAGCGCAACACAATCATCAGACATCACTGGTGTTTAATGAGACTAAACTACACAAAGTTGTGTTTAAAGATGTTCACAGTCTTTTCTACCTTTTGATTGATTCGACAAAAACTCAACAGATGTGTGACAATGACCAAAACCACGGAGGAAATAATGACGCCTGCAGTGACAGATATGAGAAAAACTATGCTCACCGCACATCTTGTCGTCCGTGTGAACACATGGATGAATATTAGATTTCATCTGTGAATTTACAGATCATTAAAATTCTGATGTTTACAGCTGCAAAACACAGGCAACACACATTTTATCTCACAGCGATACTTTTGTGCAGTTTTCACTGTAACACATGAAACCTCTGTGTCTCTGCAGATCCTATGGCAGCGTGTTTAAAGCCAATTACAAAGAGACGGGGGAGATCGTAGCCATCAAACAGGTTCCTGTGGAGTCTGATCTACAGGAGATAATTAAAGAAATATCCATCATGCAGCAGTGTAACAGGTACTTTACTTCACCGTTTACATTGTCAAGTCAAGTGTGTTACTTTAAATTCTTCCACTCATCTTTTGCAGCGGTGGATTCATTGAATTATAGATTTCCTTTATCTTAAAAAATAACTTTGCTCTTTCAGCACGTTGGTTTCTTGCATATTTCATATTGTTAAGTTTTAAAATTATATAACTTAAGTATAAGTTTGATAATGTGTAATTCAGGAAGCTAAAGGGGGGGCTTTACTTTACCTGAAATTGAAAAAAGTAACTGCAAATGTGTGTGTGTTCAGTCCATATGTAGTGCGTTACTATGGCAGCTACTTCAAGAACAGTGACCTGTGGATCGTCATGGAATATTGCGGAGCCGGATCAGTTTCTGATATCATTAGAATACGCAACAAGACGGTAATGTAATACTCTCAAGACACACACACACACACACACACACACACACACAGAGTTTACATAAAGTGTGTGTAATTGTTACTGCACTGAATTGTAGCAACAAAAAGAGGCAAAGATTGTTTTGGCTGATCTCTTTTCATTTCTGTGCGTGTAGATAACAGAAGAAGAGATAGCCGCCATCCTGTACGCGACTCTGAAGGGTTTGGAGTATCTTCACTTCATGAGGAAGATCCACAGAGACATTAAAGCAGGAAACATCCTGCTGAACACGGAGGGTCAGGCCAAACTGGCCGACTTCGGAGTTGCTGGACAACTCACAGTAAGAAAATAAGAATTCAATAAAGAGACATGTCCATAAAATACAGCTCCCACTACAGACAGGACCTGATGGGTACGAGGATGTGTATATATGAAATGTATGAAAAAACTATGACCTGAATATGAATTACTATTTTTGTTTGTCGACTTTGTTAATTGGAAGTTTAAACGGGAAAATAAAAGTGCTCTGTTGTACTTAAAGACAGACATCAGCAATTCAACAGAGAATGAATTGACAATTATCTCAGTGTTCAGTTTTGAGTGATACTCCAAAAGTAGGATCGCACCACTAAAGCTCAATAGCTTCTGGAGGTAGTGCGGCGTTGTGTCTGGTCAACCAGAATTAATTAATCTGCGCATATTGAACCGTCACGTGTCTCCTGCTCTCTTCCTCAGGACACCATGGCGAAGAGAAACACGGTGATTGGCACGCCGTTCTGGATGGCTCCAGAAGTTATACAGGAGATCGGCTACAACTGCGTGGCTGACATTTGGTCTCTGGGGATCACAGCTATAGAGATGGCTGAGGGGAAGCCGCCCTATGCTGACATACACCCGATGAGGGTGAGGGAGTGTGTGTATTGTCTGTGTGTTTGTATTTAAAGGTTAAAAAGAAAGAAAAGCAAAAGTTCTCAGAAAATGTTGAGAGGTTGAAGAGGGGAGTAAATCTCTGTATTAACGATGAAAAAGAGTTAAATGAATTAAATTTGTGTGTACTGAATTATTTTTCCTCCTCCAGGCCATCTTCATGATTCCAACCAACCCTCCTCCAACGTTTCGGAACCCAGATCTGTGGTCGAAATCATTTGAAGACTTTGTGAGCCAGTGTTTGGTGAAAAACCCAGAAAAAAGGGCGACTGCCACACAGCTGTTACAGGTAATGGTGCAGTCATGTTCGAGTCCACCCTAGCAATTTCATGCTGTGTCCTTCACGTGTGAAACACAAACTCCAGAAAATCCAAACACTTTCCAGAGTTGATGTCTGAAAACAGCTCATGTAGGAGCCATAAAAATCGAGTTGCTCATATGAGCGTGTTTCTGTTTGCTGTTAAGTAAAATGGAAAACTTGTAGGATACCTCGTCTTCATCGTGTCTCTCACTCCTTCAGCATGAATTTATCAAGTCGGCCAAGCCCAGCAGCATCCTCAGAGACCTGATCACAGACGCCATGGAGATCAAACTGAAGTTACAGGAGGAGGCAGAGCAGAGGGAACAGGACGCAGAAGATGACGACAATTCGGTAAAGACACGAAGAATCCTGAAATTATAAAGAAGGCAGGAGAGGTTGTTCTGTTCTGTCTCCTGTCATTTTTTACTTTCCCAGATATAAACAATCAATCTTCTTGAAATAAGACTTGGCTTTCTGCCTGTGTTTCAGGAGGAGGACGAGGTCGACCAGGGGACGATGGTGCGGACTGGGTCAGGCGACTCCGATACCATCCGGGCCGCTGGCTCATTGGTGGGTTCCCTCGGCGGTACGGCACGGACCATGATCGAACACGACGACGGGACCATGCAGTCACAGCTGGGAACCATGGTCATCAACTCTGATGATGAGGATGACATAGATGCTGGTACAATGAAGAGTAAGTTCATTAATAAAATCCAAAGTTGATTTGCGTAGAAATTGTGGGTGCCTCCTCCATGTTAGCAGATGAGACATGGAACAAACTAAAAAAAGTTGACTCTAAATAAGCATTTGTCAAAGATGGTTTCTGTCATTTTAGGTTGTTCTCGTCACACTGATGTTTGTTCAAGTGTTGTTACTTATTGTTTGGTTTTATTTCATTCGGCTGAGACGTCAGGGAAGGCAGACTCGCGATTGGTGGAAGTAGAAACGTGTCGTCCAACATGTTGAACAGCTCTGTGTTCTGTACTGAGACAAAGATTCAAACATCATAAAGTGCTGCTGTGTGTTGTCGTCATCCAGTAGAGGGCAGAGTGTTACCGTCAGACAGACTGAGGTTCCCTGACTTCCCTCTGAACCTGTAGTGTTCAGGGTCTTACTCCTCTGACCATGACTACGAGTTTTCTCTTTTACGTTTAGGGAGAGTGGTGAGTTTTTGTATTGTCAATAATCACAAAATGTACTTTACTTGACATGTGAGTATTACATTTCATTCATTGTTGTCTTGAAAAAATTCTACTTGGCCTGGTTAGATGATAAACCAGCAGGTCCCCCTTCATGCAGTGGATGCATTAAGTTATGCTGTGGTGTCATTTAAGGAGAGATGCGATGCTGCAGGAGTCTGTTGGGAGTGTTTTTTTTTATTATTGCAGTGTGGGAGTAGTAAGCGTTGGATGTATTGGAGGTTTTGGAAGGAGTCTCGATAAGAGTTGGACTCTGTTCATCAGTGCTGGCAGTCAGTGGTTGTGTTGTGTGTTTGTTTTTATCCGCTAAGAATTAACCTCAGTGAGCAGCTGCAGCAAACTGAGTTTGTGTGCGTCTGTGTGTGACCTCTGTACCGTACGACCCTTTTCTAGGCAACATAACTTTTTTTTATGTGTTTGACTTCGTCATCTACCTCAGTGAAAGTTTGTTTTTAGCTTCTCCCACAATACAATAAAAAATCCATACACTCCACATAACGCAACACATACAACTGACAATAGTGAAAATATATTTATATGAACACAACAGAGTTAATCTTATAAAATCACCAGTGTTTCCTGACGCAGTCGTTCTCTGTCTGTGTGAAATGGATTTCTTGTATATGTTCTTGTTGAACTCTGGGCAGCTCAGACTCCGAGTGTGGTGGGTGTGATGTATCTACAGTTTACGCGTTCATCCTTCCTGTGCACAGCTCTGTCAGATATACTGTTAAGTAGTTTTTGTGTCTTGCCTATAGCGTTAACACGTCTGCAGAGCTTGTTTCTGCTGTGTACTCTCACATTACTGCACTGGACTGTTATGTTAAACGAGAAGATGCTTTCTACAATCCTCCTGTTTGCTATTTAAAGCACGTGTCAGCTTCCTGATCAAAAACAGTCGCTGGTTCGCTCTCTGACTTCTCATCAAAACAAGATTACATCATAACATCACAACTCCTACACCACATCTCATGAGATGTTTGCTCAAGCCAAAGAAGTGTGGCAGCGTTTACAGCAACCGACTGGGATTAGCTGCATTCTGATGGTCGCTGGGGTAATTTCCCAGCATGCACAGCGCTGCTGAAGTTGTCAGAAGGAATTGAGATTGAACCACAGGACAGCGAAGCGTCTGCAGGGTATCATCAGACAGAAGTAGACACCACAAATATCAAAGATACAGCAGCAGTTATATTTCATTGCCATGTGTCAAATGTATTGTTTATATTTCCATCAGCTGATTAATCAATATTGACATCAGTCATCAAATCCATTTCAGTTGAGAACATGGAAACACATGAAGACACTTTTGATCAGATTATTAATGTAATAAGTGTTTTTAACTTCTTGTGATTTCATGGCACCACAGGTTTAATCTGATTAATCTGACATGAGATCGATCTCCTCGCCATCCGAACGTCGGCTCTTTCGTGATCTTTCCTCGTTTATTTAACTGATTTTGTTATTGAATGAGATACGACATTTATTGCAGCGATCTGACATCACATCATCACATGGATTCAAATACAGATACAATACAGAACATGGTGTACGTCCATCTGGTTGTGGATTTTATTTCCCATGTCCTTCCCTCTAGCTTTGCATTTGCGTGAGATTATGTGAGCAGGATCCTTATTCTGACCTAAAACCAGCACATTGAGGGGAGCAGGTCTGAAAGGGCAATAACACGCACGCACACACGCACACACACACAC